TGGGCATGTTTAGTTTGGAGAAGAGGAGGCTGAGGGGAGACCTCATTGCCCTCACCAACTCCCTGAAAGGAGGGTGTAGAGAGGTGGGGGTTGGCCTCTTCTCCCAAGGGAATAAAACCAGGAGCAGGGGAAATGGTCTGAAGTTGGGGCAGGGGAAGTTTAGTTTAGATCTTAGGAATAATTACTTTACTTAGAAAGGGTGGTCAGGCACTGGGACGAAGAATGACTTTACTGAGAGGGTGGTCAGGCACTGGAACAGCCTGCCCAGGGAGGTGGTGGAGCCACTATCCCTGGAGGTATTTAAGAAACATGTAGATGTGGAATTTCAGGGCATGCTCTAGTGCCTGAGATGGTTGGGTTGGTTTTTTTTGTGTGTGTATGGTTGGACTCGGTGATCTCAAAGGTCCCTTCCAGCCATGAAGATTCTGTGATTCTGTGAATAAAGTGATGTGGGCAGAACGATAGGTGAGGATTTGGATGGCAGCAGTTTCAGATGGCTGGTGAAAAAGAAGTCAGTAAATGGAAGCCCCCGAATGAGTGCCTGGCCTTTAGTCTCCAGAGACTTGTATCAGTAAGAAAAGTGCAGAGAGTGGTTAGGGCTGAGGTTGGGGTTAAAAAAATAAAATTCCCAGCACGTTAGCATTCATCGGGGCCTGATGGCGTGGCAAAGGTGGGAAGCGAGTGACGATTGCCTGACTTGTAACCAGCTGAATAGAAACCCTGGGGTGGGGGAGCTTTTAAAGATTGTTTTTCTTCCTCGTGTATGTATATACTCAGCAGCATTTCTGAGGGAGTTGCACTAATTAACTCTTCTCTCCACCCCCACCCTCTTAAATCTCAGCTGAGTACGGCGGCACCTATCAGAATGGGATATATGGGACACAAGGCCCTTTCTGCCCAGGCCAGACAGCTGTTCAGGGTTTTGAAGCAGATGTTTGAGCCTGAATCTCAGTAATTTTGCGTGATTTGGGTTGGTAGCTAATGGAGGCCAACTTATTTATTTGGGAAACTCCCAGTGAGGTAGAGATGCTTACTGTAGCTGGGTTCCTGTTTAGCAGCCTATAGAAGTGGCTCTCTGGAATCCTTCTACGTTAAATGTTTCTTTTCTTTATTCTTTCAAGTGCTCGCTGACCTCATTTATATAGTATTTCACAGGGTACATCTGGTTTTGGTTGTTTCATGACTCAGTGTTCCAGTTTGAAAATGCAGTGTTGTGATTTAAAACGTGGTGTCAGGACAGTGATATACAACTACCTGTGACCTCACTGGTGGTGCTGGAGCTCTCTCGGGCACCGCTCCTGCTGCCGGCCGGGCTCCTGCAGCTGCGTGGTCCCTGGCTTCTCCATCCCCTCCAGCCTGGCCTTCCTTTCTGCTCTTAGACACCGCTTCTCCTGGGGTCTGATATTCCTACCTGGCTGAGTGCTGTATTCAGTTCTGGGCCCCTCACTACAAGAAGGACGTTGAGGTGCTGGAGCGTGTCCAGAGGAGAGCCACCAAGCTGGTGAGGGGTCTGGAGAACAAGTCACATGAGGAGAGGCTGAGGGAACTGGGCATGTTTAGTTTGGAGAAGAGGAGGCTGAGGGGAGACCTCATTGCCCTCTCCAACTCCCTGAAAGGAGGGTGTAGAGAGGTGGGGGTTGGCCTCTTCTCCCAAGGGAATAATGCCAGGAGCAGAAAAAATGGTCTGAAGTTGTGGCAGGGGAGGTTTAGATTAGATCTGAGGAAGAATGACTTTACTTAGAAAGGGTGGTCAGGCACTGGAACAGCCTGCCCAGGGAGTGGTGGAGCCGCTATCCCTGGAGGTATTTAAGAGATGTGTAGACATGGCCCTTCAGGGCATGGGCTAGTGCCCGGGATTGTTGGTTTGTGACTGTTTGCGGGTTTGGTTTTGTTTGTTTTTTTGTGGTTGGACTCGATGATCTCAAAGGTCCCTTCCAACCATGAAGATTCTGTGATTCCCACTAGAATGTCTTGAGCTGCAGGTTGTCTTACACCGTTACCTTTTCCTTTGGCTGCAGTCCCTTTTCTGAACTCAGGTAACCGGGAGTAGATGCACTCTCTTATTCACCTTAAGACAATTTCTCCAGGTTCCTGAGATAATACTCCACTGGGCAGTACGAGCTGCCATCAGAATTGTTTTCTCTAATGCTTGCTCAGCTTTTGTACTTCTCTGTTGAGTGTAGTTTCCATACACTCTCCAGAATCCTTTTCTCAAGCAGGTGCATTTTGGTATTTATCCAGGGTGTGACATCTCCCTCGGTGCTAAAAATACTCAGGTAGCTCTGTTGCAGTTTTTTTGACAGAAGAGTTAATCGTAATAAGATGAATGATATCATTCTTTTTTTTTTTTTTTCCCCTTTCATTTTTTTCCTGTAAAAACCTAGAGTTGCCCACACCTTTCAGAGATACACACCTGTCTGTCAAAGATAATACGTGTCATAATCTTAAACACACAGAGGAACACATTTGAACGGGAGCCGAGGAGTTCTGCTTAAATGTGTCACTAAAATGTTCAAATGATACTCTCATCAGCTTCAGGATGGATTGTCAATTTGTGTGGCATTTAACACTAATGTTGTGGTTCGACATCATAAAAACACTTTTCTAGAATTTGGTAATTTATAATAACGTGGTTTAAGGCAGAAACACTTACTGGGAATTTGCTTGCATTAAGTTACTGCTTTAACTTAAATAACTAGGAGCTAGAGAAGGGGTGAAACTAGACTAGAATATAAAATATATTTACTTAAGAGCCATGTGATGATTAAAAGTGAGAAAATAAGGAAGCTGGCTTAATGAATATTAATGCTTCGCTCTGCTGTTTTACACTTTTGTCTTCCACTCTTTTCTATTGAGTTACTTGATGGTGCATTTTACATCAACAAATGTGTGCTCATTTTGAAGCGAAACCTTTCGAAAAATCATAAAAATTAATGATTTACAGGTTTTATAGAGGATGAGATTAATGACAATGTTTTAACAAGCAACATTTGATACCCAGGTGCACTGCTTGCTTTGCTAAAATCTTAAGAGATGAAGTCTACCAGCTAGATAATATTCTCCTCAGAGGGACATCACAACGAAGATCACACCTACTCAGTGCATATTTGCTGGTCAGGTTAACGTAAAATATTTTTTTTTCCCCAAGAGAGCAGGAGGGAACAGGAATTCTGAGTTTAGTAAAAAAAACCCACAATAAAATCAGTTTTTAAATATTTAGCATTGGGGGGGAGGGCAGGGGTGCCCACTTACATGCCTATGTAGTCACTTCTATCTAGCTCATTATCTACGAGAGCAGTCAGAGGTGTTTCCATTTTCATGGAAAATGATGATATGGGGGAATTTGATCAAACAAAAGTATAGGAACTCTTACAAGGCCCTGGAAAGACTGTCTTGCAGAAATATGATAAGTTATGCCAACATTTAATAGCTTCTTTTCGTTCACTGTCCGTTTCTTCCATCATTTTTAAGGTAATGATTGATATTAATCAGCACATTGCTCCTTTTTTTCTGGAACAAAACCTCAAGGAAACAAAATAGGTTTTGTGATTTGTTTCTTGGAAAGCTAAATCCAGAATGACAGCTTTTGTAGCAACCTTGTGCTGTGCAGAACCCTAGCACTGCGGGCCAAGGTGCCGGCATTTCTCTCAGCCATTTGGCCCACGAGTTCTAACTTTATTTCAGGGTATCTGCTCGTGAACAGAACAGGATTTTCAGGGTCTCTGGGTTAGCTATCCAGTAAATGTTTGTGAAATCTAATTTTTAAAATGCTGTTGCAGAAATTGATACTGAAGAATTCTTAACATACGCTTCTGTGGTTTAGTTACTTTCTGATAACTAATCTCAAAGAATAACATTTGGGCACATGGAAGGCAGAAAAGACCCTCTGTCAGCTTTTTCAGGAAAAAGAGGTGAACTGCTTTTAATCATGATAAAATTGCTTAACAATACAACTAGTGAATACAACCAGACGTTAATTGTCACGGGTTATTCCCTTATTCTTGTGCAAATAGCTCCGTACTGTCAACTTGTAGTTCATAGATTGATGCTGAGAATGCTGGCTCTGTTCCTGATGAAGTTAAAATGGCCAGTTTTTTAGGACCATATCCTTCTTTATCACCATAACTATTTATCAGTGGTAGAAAGTGTTTGTGGAGAAGCTAGGGAGCCAGACTGCAATGGAAGGTCAGTGACACTTCGATGATGCTGGAGCCTTCAGAGTGAATGGGAGAAGGCAAAACTTGAGGATGGCTGTCGTTGCGTGGGGTTTAGCTGGGGTGTGGGACTAGAGCTGGAAGGGTCTGCTAATAAGAGACTAGGAATGCTCTTCAGGGTCTTTGTAAGTGGGATTAGCTCCAAATCCCACTGATGCCCTGTATTACCACTTCAGCACCATTAGAGAAATGTTTTTTGGGTCTGAGATAAGATCATCTGCATATCTGTGGCATCTGCTTCTGTATTGCTGGAGACATACTGGGGCTGAACAAAATTTCATTAATTTTGGGACTGAAGGATCAGGCAGCTCTTCAGAGTCTGGTATCTGCTTTTCTTGGGTGACCTCTGGCATATGAAAGTTTTCTGTTTGTTGGTGGAACCAAGTGATAACATTCCTCTGTGGGTAGTGAAGGGCTTATTTCTGCTTTATCATTTCCATTTGGAGTTTTTTTTATCTTGCTTGATTGACAGAACGTTGAAATGCTAAATATTAATCTACTTTGTAAAAAGATCTGAATATGAACACTTCTTTTTTCTTTCCCCTGTACAATCTATTCATCTCCATTAAATTTTTGTCCTTAAGTATGTCCAGAGCATTGTCAAATAGCACCAAATGCATTGACTACCACTAACAGAGTGATTGAATTCTTTCCTGGAGAACAACTTCGGTGCTTTCATTGGTGTTTTAAATTGATCCTGGTGATAATAAATACATATTCTTAACACCTCAACACTTAGTGTGTAGTATATTTGTAATTAATTTTTTATTTTTATTTTTTAAACAGGATTTATCGGGGGAAGGCTACAGAGACGCTATTGGTGATGAAGACTTTCATCTAGAAGGTAATTAAAGAACAAAATTTCTTGGTTAACATTAAGAGGTATTGGAGTAATTCAGTGAACAAGTCTGTGAAAATGCATATATGAGAGTGCAGTTAAGAATGTACTGATGCGTCATTCGCCTGGCAAAACTGTTAAGATAGGAATAGGGTATTAGTTCTGTATCTCCTACCACTGTCCTCCTAGTATCGAAAAAAGTCACCCAGTTGTATCATAGGGACCGAGTGTTTTAATTCAAGGTCTCACAGGTTTTTCCAGGTACTTCTCTTGGCATTGGTACCAGTAGTGCATATCACTGTCCCCAGCAGAGGTGGTAAATGCGATCACTGGAAATGTTAGCACTGGGGTTTGTGATGTCCTGCACACCCTTCCCTCTTACACAAACCAGCCTTAGAAACTCCTGCATTAATTTCTAATAAAGACCAAAGACTCTTATTCGATATATTTCTCTTCAATACAAATGTGATCATTAGTGCCCCAGATAACTCCTCCTTTCCAAGGCTCATCTCATCTCTGCATCTGTGGTCAGGCCTCTCCTTGCAGTGGGAGATGGAACCATCGTTGGGGTGGGAAGGGCCTTTGGGGACCTTGAGTATGGACACTGTATTCTGCGTGCCAGAGAACCCACCCGAGGTACTTTGAACTTCAGTTGGGCAAGTGGGGGGTGATGAACGGAAGAGATTAATTTGAGGGCATTGTTGCTCATTCTTTTAGAAAAACAAGGAAATGAGACTTCAGAAACTCTCTGGGAAACACCAAGTGGTTGCATGGGCTTGTGCTAGATTTATGTTTTAAGCTAGTGGAAACAATATGCCCAACTTGTTTAGAGCAATGAACCATGTCAAGCTTAATTTAGAAAGTTCTGCTGCTTTATAATCCAGTCATTTGTTTCTGGTGGTAGAGACTTCTGTCTAAACAGAACTTGAAAGATGCTCTGTGTTAAGAATGTCTGTCTTCCAGTTCCTTACCTGGGAAATGTGTTATATACTGTGTCCCAAGGATCCCATGTTTCTATCATGTTTACAAAGAATGTTCTCTCTTATGTGTCTGTAGCACAGGAGCTCAATTTCAACTACTGCTTGTGGGCTACTGTTAAACACAAAAGCAAGACATACTTGCCGTGGCGGAGTCAGTGTTAAAAGTGTTTCAATATTCAACTTCACTGCAGTTTTCCTTTCTGCTCATAGTAGGATATAACTCTAATAAAGGGTGGCTTTTGTTTTTCCGAATTATAGGAGAATCTACATAACACAGGAAATTAAATGTTAGTGAGGTGAATAATTTTTCTGTCTCATTCTACCTCTCCTTGCCTCTAATTATTTCTTACTTTGTTGTGTAGAATTGTCTTGCATAGCAAACATAATACCCGATATAGAATATTTCCAAACTAGTCAGCAGCAGGATTGTTTTTATTAGAGTGTAAAACCTTTTAGGCTACTGTAATTTCAGTCTTTCAGCAGTTCTACATTATTACTTCTGACGTGTCTCATTTCTTATGAAGCAGCTGAGTAGTGAAGACAAGATTTAGATACCAGCAGGTGGTCCTTTCTTTGTGTGCTGCCACTGGGGAAGAGCTGTTCTGTGGCATCTTTCCAGCTGGGAGGCAGGTAATTCTTCCCACCTGGTGATCAGGCAAACACTTGCAGAATGTCCTCATCGATTCAGATCTCCAGGTTTTGTTTTCCATGCCAGGGACAGTGTTAGCCACTTCCTTCTTGAATGGGGTATTTTAAAACTTCTTATAATTAATTAACAGATGATACTAGAAGCATTGTGTTTAAAGCAGGATGCTTTCACTCTTTTTGTGTAACTTCATACTTTTTACTCCATAATATTTTTGGATGACTGTGATAGTACTAGTATAAAACTGTGATATTAGCATAAGGTGAAGCTGAAATGTCATTTGAGACTTTTGTGAGGGCCCAGCTTGAATTCTATGTGGCTTATGTACAAGATGAGCACTGTCGGAGCTCTTTTCTGCATAGAAACGCTTTGTGTGAAAATGTAACTAATATTCTAGAACATATATTAATCTTCCCATCTAAAATAGCTGTTCTGCTTTTATTTAGCTGCCTCATAATCTTTACATATGTGCTGGTGTAATGCATGTTGCATGGTTATACATTCGTGTGTCGTAAGATAACATCGACATCCCTGATAACTAGTGTCAGAGGTAGGGAGCTGTGACACTGAAACCTGCTTGGTTGGGGTAAGCTCACAAAGGACACGAATGGCAAAACAAAGACTTGAGCCCAGCTCAGCTCTCCCAAGTCCCAGGCAAGTGTCTAACCAATGAACTATGTTCTGTCTTCATAAATACACCGTAGGGATGGAAAAAATGAAAAAGAAACACTTCTCAGATTTGCAAAAAAGCACAGCAGGTGCCGCAATTCTTCTGCGTTAGGGGAAAGTTATAGCCTTCACACTCAGAGACTTTATTGGAGAATAAATCTGAGTTCTTTGAAAGACTCTCACTGAAAAGACAAAGTGGCAATAAGAGAAATAATTGAATTCCTTATTTTGTTTTACATAGCCAAGTTCATTACCTTTTTTTTTTTCCTCCCTCTCTTTTTTCCCCCTCTTAGCCGTCTGAGCAGTACAGATAAAAAGAACTCTCTTTGCTGGATTTAACTTCTGTGTTGTTATGTAAAGCTTGATCAAATCCTTTCGTTTTAACAGACTTAACTGGCCAACAGCAAAAGGCTCGGGATTCTGGGATTAAGATTGTATTTGGTAAGAGGACTGGTGCATTAGTGCTTTCTTTTGAACTATAGAAAGAACAAAGTAAACATCAAAAGCATTAAGCCATGAGAGCGGATTGTTGACTCAATGTTGCTGCATGACAAGAGGTTAGAACTCAATAGTGGTGACTCTGTTTACTGAGTGCTGCGCAGAAAGAAACAGTTTGACCAGTATTGTCTATTATGTCCAGCACCTGCCTTTGATTTTGCTGCTGGGCAAGTAACTAAATAGAAATTTTGGGATTTTCTCTTATGTGGTCAGCGGTTTCCTTAGATAAGAGATACCAGTGGAAACCTCAGTCTCTTCTCTATATTACTCTGTTTCCCTTCTTCCTCCTTCATTAATAACTCAGCAACTGGGCATGCTGGATATAGGTTCTGTAGTGGATTCATTTGCAACTTTCATTCCAAGTTTGGCAGTGCTTTCCCACTGCATTTCAGAGACTTCCATGGCCAAACTTTGAGTACTTGTGCAATCTGCTGTGGCTGTGTACGACCTTCTTGTGCTTGAACTTTCTTGTCCAGCAGTTTCTGCAAAGGAAGCATGTGCTTCATTACACTTCATTTCTGTGAAAAAAAAAGAGCTTGAATTTTTCTCTTTCTTGTCCTACTATAGAATAGTAGCTCACCAGAACTGAAGGACTGGAGATGGCTCTGGAAGAAGTCACAAAAAGTAGCACAGACATTGGGAGATCTATTTTAATTTTATTTTAGTAGGGAAGCTAAAATGGCAGGCAGGGAATTGAATGTAGTATCAAACAACAAGACACTTCCATCACGGAGACATGCAGGTGGCTCAGAAAGATATCTGCCATTAGCATGTTCAGTGATGACATCCAAGTTCTCTCTCTGCTCTTCAAGGCATAAGTAAGCTTTTAAATGAATTGTTCAAGAGTCCTGCTCTTGTTTGCCAGAATTTTTTTCACCTCCTTTCCCTGAACGTTTTGGGAAATTTTCACAGCTAAAGCCTGTAGACCAGGAGAGCTTTCTTGTCTTGACTACTCCATGTCTTTATGAAATGAACCAGGGTTCCTCTGTCTTATCATTTGAACATTTAAAAGCATTTCAGAGCAGCCTATTTTCTCTTTGAGTGTGATATCTGAACCAGAAGCAGGGAAATCTCCCTCTGACAGACTGATTGTGGAAAAGAAGCAATTTCCTCCTTGTCTCAATACAAGCTCTTTAGAGCCCAGTGGGATATAGCTATTGGTCTCCTTCAGCTGCCTTTTGGAGTTCAAGGTGAAGTCCTCAAACTCAGGAGACACCTAACCTGTCACCCTAATTAGCTGTGTGATGATGTGATTTCTCGTGTCACTGTTCTCATAAAAAGTATGACTTAACTGTTTCTACAAACCAGAAATCTTGCATCTCTCTGAGATCAATCTAGTCCTGTACCTGTCAGAGGAGCTGTCTCTTATGCTGATAGCAATCTGTTCCCTGTTTCATTTGTCAGCTGAGGGTGATGTCTTGATTATTATTCTCTCAACAGAAGACTGGAGAAGATCCAAGCCTTCCTGGTGCCTTATCTGAACCTGATACCCAAAGTTCTGCTGAAAGTGGTGAAAGAGCTTGACCTGAATCAGGCAACCCATTTTTTGATATGTTCCCCAAACCAGATGTATCCAAATCCCTTGACAATGTAAGATGTTCCCTCATGTGATACCACAAAGGACAAAATTATTCAGGTCATCTTCTTGCCCATAAATATTAGAGACCCCTCCATCAGAGTTCAAAGCACATGTTGTTACTGAGAAAAAAAAGTCTATCATATCTGTAAAAGAGCTACTTCTAGCACTTCTCACACATTTAGAAAACATTATGGAATTTCTAGACCTTCAAGTAAGGCATGCTGTATTCAGCAAAGCAGAAAAATAATTAATTATATTTTTAATATCATTGTATGTATTTCAAACATAGAGTCCTTCATCTCTTCTTCCTCCACCCAGCGTCCAGGGAGTCTGCGGTCAGGTGGGAGCTGAGGTGTGGTTAGCAGAGCTTCCACCACAAAGAGCTGTGTTGGTTTTTTTGGACTTTAATAAGGACTGATAAGCAAACAAGGAACCGATAGTAAAGAATGATTTTTCGTGGTGTGAGGCTGCTGAAATTACCTGCCTGTCTTCCTGGAGCCCCCCACCTGCACGTGCTTCACCCCCCATAGGAATATCTGTTGGGTTGTCAGCTCAGAGGAGGGGGGGGGTAAGGAGTGGTGCTTGGGCCCAAATTGTTTATAAACTTGTCAGCAAAGGAAAACTTGGGCAAGCA